AAAAGAGTTTCAGATTTTATAATTTGCAGGAGACACAGAGGATGATCTAGAAACCTCCTTTATCAGTGAAATGAGGAGTTAGAGAGTAGGACAGGGCATACTTTGGATTCAAGAGGGCCACTGGTATATAAACAGGTCTCCTAGAGGCTGCTGTCATACCTGGCTTTTAGGTGATTTTATTTCATAAACAGCACTGTGTATATATGGAAATACTCAGGATCTTTAAATTGCTCTTAGATGCTTGCACAGCTGAGTCACTCCTGAGGTGCCAGCAGGACAATTCAGTGTCATGTGTGAACTAATGCCACCGCTGGCATGTCCAGTGTAGCTGTGCTGAAGTGTCCCAGTAGCAAAGCAATGGGATTGCAGTTTTAGCAAGGGTTGTGATTTAAGCCTACAGAGATTGCCCACAACAGCATAGTCATATTGAAGATCTGAGTCTGGACTTTTCTGGTATTTTTTACTGCTTTTTCAGTGCCACAAAGGACATGTGAAGAGGATTTGTCTTTTCACTGTGCTTCCATCTTTCTGACTTATACTATCAGTGAGTATGGGAGGTTCAAGATGGCTGGAGAAACTATTCCTCCCACTGACAAACAGGTATCTGATCTTGCAGAGAAGTGGCTGAATTGTTCTCCCCCTTTCAAGATGGGCCACACAATATCTCTTTAAAAACAAAAACAACCCCCCAAAAAAGCAGTGTGACAGATCTCTCTCAACCAGCTTTATTTTTCTTCCCTCTCTGAAAGTTTTAAGTTAGCTAATTTGGGTTACAAGCTGTACAAAACCCTTGGGTTTTGGTAGCAGTCCAAGTTGGTAGCCTATGAGAAGTTATTGTGTTCAGATGCCTTCTGAGTGGGGACGTAAATGCAGCATGTTGCAGGCTGCAGCTGTTAGATGGAGATTGTAGTAATGTCCCTGAAACACTGAATTAAAAAAAAAAAAACCAAACAAAAAAAAAAAAACAAACCAAAGAGCAAAGTTGTTGGATTTGAATAAATGGGGGTGTTGCTCTCTGCCCTTATGTAGTCCAGTACATATCAAAGGCCCCCTTCCTTTAATAGCAGGAAGGAAATAAGATCTGTATCTCTTGGGAACATGCTTCTAAAACCAACTTTCACTTGCATTCCTATGTCTCCTTTTAGTCCCTCTGAATAGTAAAAATTCACATTGTCACATTTTAGTCACCCCAGCCTGGATATTAGATCACTCAAGGGTGTTGGTTTCTAGTCACAGTCTTACTAACATCTTAATTTGGGTGTTGGTGTTCCTCTCCCATGTTCAGGTGCCTAATATGGATTCTTATCACCCCAAAACAGTGAGCTTGGATCCCAGCCCAGCATGCGTGGGCACTGGCAGCACTTGGATATTTATAGGGATTTCTACTTCCTTCTTTTCTTTGGGCCACTTTCTTACTACAAGAATTCCTGATTTCTTCCATGCACCAATGAATGCAACCTTTCTAGGGTGGTGTCTGGGCAGGGGATGTTATGTATGTACCTTCCCAGCTGCCAGGGCCAGTGCAAACAGGCATAGCACAGCACTGGCCTGCAAGGCACTGAGGGGAAAAAAATGTACCACCTTTTTCACACCCTTAGATCTAGTTTTGGGAGATTACTCAGCCTTGTTGATTTATTGTGTCATTATTAAACTCGGCTATCTTGACATCCCAAGCACCATTACAATGTGGTTAGAGAGGGAGAGAGAGTCAAATGCCCTGAACCTTTTTCTGATTGGTAATTTCCTCTGGATCTACAGAGTGGCAGAAGGGTGGAACTTTCAAACAGTACTGTACTGATTTTGTTTTGATCTATTCTTTGAAAGGTGAATCAATAACATCTGATTCTTACAGAAATCTTTAAATTGCCACTTGAAGTTTCATCTTCCTTCCTAGGTGATCATGGTAGAGAAGGACATCAGCAGAGGTAGCTGCTTGACAGGTGCTGATGTGCAGAGCAGCTCAAAGCACTTGCTGACAGACCAGCCAGCTGACAATGGGAATGCAGAGCAGTAAATTCCCTTTTTCTTTCCCTTGCTGGTGATTCTTTCTAGGTTTCTCTGTTCCACTCAGATGTCATTTCCCTCAAAAAATTGTAAGAATCTGGTAACTCTGCCTCATTCTGAAATTTCAGTTAAAATCTGTGAGTATGTCTCTGTTGGGAGCTCAGCACCAGAAATGTGATTTTAGAAGCTTTGTTTCCTTTGGAAGCCAGAGGAATAATGTCAATATTAGACCTGAACTGCTGTAGTCAAGACTTGGGACTATGGGGAATGGAGCAGAACCCTGAATGCATGGCTGGAGAAGGAAAACCTGCAGTGGACATATTTGAGCATTTCCTGTCAGAAGGCTCTAAGAGACTGGATAAGGAGCCATTACTTGAATGAGTCCATAGCATCCTCTGTGTCTCATTAACAGATGGTTCTAAAAGGCAACAGTGGAAATGCAAACTCATGCATGTTTGTGCTTGCTCTGCTTGTGCCTCTCCTGGCAGCACTTGCTGGCATAATCTGTCAGGAATTAACCTTTTGCTTGAGGTATTGTTACACAGGCTGGTATAATTCCTCCCATTGCCTGTGACAAATCTCTGTCTCACCCCTCCACACGCTTCCAACCTAGAAGGAATTATGTCAGAATGGTAGAGAAATGCTGGATGTAGGATCTCACCTTTGTAATGGGCAAACTTTCTTCTCCCACTCTAAGTTTTTCTGTGCTTTCATTGCCAGGATTGTCCACACAATCCTCTACCCCAATTACCCATTGATTAGGGCGCCTCTGGTAATCTGCCAGATGCAGGTTTGTTACCAACAGATGGCAGAAAGCATTTGAGGTAATGAGAGAAAGGATAATGATTGCTGATCTGCATAATAATCAGCTTGTGAACAGGTTTCATGGTTTTTTTCCATTTCCACTGGCTCAAAGATTGCACTGTCAGACAACCAGGCACCTTCTCTTGAGTTAAAGAAATAGTAAGGGAGGAACCAATTTCTTCCAGCTACTGTTAAGATTTCTGGAGGTACACACACACTCCACCACACAGATTAAGATTTTAGCCAGAGTCAGAGACTGCACCAGGATTGCTAGGAATGAATGCTCAGTCCTCTTGTGATCAAGACCTTTAACTGACCAGTCTGGTCAGAAGTACTTTCATTTTTCTGTTTTTTGAGACAATTTCCCCCACTTGTACCACAAGGCAAGAAGATCCCCATCTCCCGTGGACCAGCATCACCTTTGCACTGTCTAATACCTAGTTTGAAAAAAATTACTTCCCACTTCCCTGTGTTTTGGAGTTCTTCAAACAAATTCTACAGCTTTGCACATTGACACAGCCTCATCCAAGTCTACATCTAAGCTACTTCAGAGTCCTTGCAGGAAGAAGTCTTCTCTGGAACACTCTAGAGCAGTGTTACAGGAGTTATATGCTTTAAAACACCAGTTTCCTGTGCTGCACAAGGTCTGTACAGATTTTCACTGTTTGAAATCTACAGGGTGCTTGGACTCTAACTGTCCCTATCTGAAATGAGCCATATAACACTCGCTCAAAAATCATTTTGGTGCAATTTACTGTGACTTTTGGCAAAGGATTTGGATTGAAGAACTTTTCTCAAAAAAACCAGCCTTACACACATGGGTGCAAATGCTGGGCTGTTCTCCAGGTGGACTGGAAGACATGGCAGACATCAAACACCATTTTTTCCCATTTCCATCAAACACCTTTGCTTTGTGAAATCCCTTCCTTGGTTTAAGTTCTAGATGGAGATTTTTGAGATTCAGGCTTGATTCCATAGAATAGTAAATGCAGATTTTTCCCTGATTAACCTTTCTGTTTACTCTGGGTGCTGATAATGCAGCAGCCTCCTGCCAGTTCTTTGCAAGGGTGGTATTTATCACATTCTCAGCTGTATCACTTGTCACTATGAATTTTAGCATCTGAACCTTACAACACAATCACTATCTACTCCTGTCCATGTGTTGCAGCTGTATCCTCCCTCTCCAGGAGAGGGAGAATGTTGGTTTTTTTTGAGCTCATACTCTAAAGGACAAGGATTTACTTTTAAGTCTTGAGGCCTTGCTACAGACATTGCTGTTGGTTACAGGATTTTGCTGTCCCTTGCCTGGTTTCTAAGGAAACAATGCCTGGGCATCTGAGCTTGTGCACATTTGTTGTATCCTTTTTTTTTTTAAGTGTCTGTGGTTTTTTCTCTGTGATTTCTGAATTTATTTGCCGAATGCAATTTTATTTGGCACATACATTTATAATTACTGACTTACTATAAGATTCCTGAAAATATATGATGGGGAATGACTCTAAAGACAACACCCATGGTGTATGCTCAAAATTAGAGATACTAGAGAATCTGTATGAAAGAAAAAGAGGGGAGGCTGTGGCCAGAGGAAAAGCTGCTTCTGATGCTGGAACTTATTAGACACATGAGAGTTCAAATGCTAATTCATACAACAGCCATCTTTAATTTGACTTCTGCAATTGTTAGTGAAAACTAGTCACAGTAGTCACTGTGAGGGGAAGAAACCCCAAGTTCCTTGTATTTCTTAGAGACTGTCTATGACTGTCCTAATTTAGCACCACGGCAACACTACAGGCCAGCCTTGTAGATGCCTGCAGGACACTTATTAACATGTTCTATTTATTTTCTGGAAAGAGAATGGCTGAACCATGTCCTGCATTAGAGAATGATGTTTGTGAAGAAAGATGGAGCTTTTAGCCATTCTGTTGAACAGGTGACCCCTGATTAGTTGGGTCTTGCCCAGAAGACCTGCAGGGAGAAAGAAAAGCCAAGCCTGAGGCCTTCACATGCATCTGAGCTGGCATTTGATTCTTCTGGCTTGTGGATGACACCAGTGGGCAATAAGATCTGACAAGGTATGTGTAGGGAGAGAAGAGGTGAGAAAGGGGAAAGGACTTTCATCTCTTGGTAATAGTGAGCTGTTTAATTTACTGTGTGTCAGGCTGCTGAGAATTTGGATATGTAAAGATAATGTGTATTCCTAAGGCAGGATCTCTCTTGGTGGAAACAATAATCATGACAAATGGGAGTCAACTGCGAGACTGTGTGTATCCTGACAGCAGCATGCTGGATGAAAAACAGACTTCTTGGAACTGATCAGAGTGTAAGTAAAAACAAGTGTGTGGGGGGTGGAGGGGAGCTGGTTTTGGGTTTTCTGTTTCTCCCAAGGAGCACTGTGTGTTAATGCATCTTTACCCAGGGAGCTGCCTGGAGCAGGCTGGCTGCTACCGTGGGCAGGCTTTAAGGTGCAGTTCTGTTACAGGGTTAGGTATTCTCTGCCATGGGAAACAGAGGCTCTCTGGGGCAGGACTTGGGTCTGCACAGGCCACTTGGGACACAGTGACAGCACAGGCTGCTGGTAATGGGCAGGCAGCAGAGGCTGGGGAGGTGTCCCTTGTGCTTAAAGGGAACCTCTTGAGCTGGGTTACAGGTATCTGCATGTGGGGAAGGGGGGTTTTCCAGCAGGACAGATGGGGTCTGCGCTGTGTCCATCTCCCCCTATCCCAGATTTGTCAATCTTTGCAAAAGACAGCTGCATTTGTTAGCTGGTAGAGCAGAGTTCCTTGACTGCTGGCAGAGGGTAATGCTGCTGAGCCTGCTTCCTTCCAAGGGAGGTTGAGCAGGACTGTTTCTGCCACCGAATTCCCAGGCACCATGTGTAGATTGAGGCTGTCACACTAGTTACAATGATCCACAGAGGTACTGGAAGTTCTGCACCAATATTTTAAGTCAAGGAATGGAGAGAGTGAGGATTTATTTAGGGGACAAATAGAAGTGCAAATGGAATACAGAAATAAAGCAGAGGGACTTTAATATTTTTTTAAAAGCCTCCCTCTCCATAAGTTTCCTTGAAAGTGTTCTCAAGGCTGCTGTCACTTCAAGCCTATACACGACCAAAACTATCTCTCTTTAGCAGGTGAAACAGATGCTCAAATGAATGAGGCTATATTGCTTAGGGCAGTTATGTTCATTGAAGTAGTATCCAGGACTTTTCCTGCTGACAAAAGTGAGGCTAAGCTGAGAAGCCACTGAACTGCTGTTAATAGCTTATCACAGTTATTTTCTCTCTGCTGCTATCCTGGCTTTGACTCCTGGCTTTGGTCCACATAATAATACTGTGCATCTCCTGTGAAAGATGTCCCACACACTGTTTTTTTCACACAGCAGAGAGGTGCAAAGCTTCCTCTTCAAAAGCACTTGATTTGTTATTCATTACAGATACCTAACTGCTTTCTCTGGCCTTAGTAGTTTTTTTCAGATGAACATAACCAAAAGGAGTAAGGGGGAATAGGAAACTCACATTTCTGCATGTCCCTGTCTCATCCTAATTTGCTTGTACTTGTTCAGAGTGCTGCTGAACACCTGTGTTTGCTGCTGCTGAAATTGCATCTTGGGACTTTTTTGGAAATAAATTGCAGAGTTTTTACTATTTATCCAGTACACCTGCTTTCACTTTCTTCCTTCCCTCCTTCTCTGGGAATCTTCACCAATGCCACTTCTAAGGCTTCAGAGACAAACTACTACAAAAATACTGCCAGTGGCGCTATAGAAGAGTGGCTGGCACAAGGCATTTCTAATTCCTTGTAGTGCTTAACTAACTAGTCTGAGAATGCTGAGCTATTCATTAGCACACATAACAACAGTACTGTGTGTACTTCAAAGAGGGAATTTAAGCTCTGCAACAGTCCTACTGAGATATTTTATTGCCTTTGACTTGAGAGCCTTTCTTCCTAGTGAAGATGTCTGGCTTCACAAGTGCAGGTTGCTTTATTTACAGATGGCACACTTTTAATTCATCTTTAAAGGGGCTTGTTCACAGCAGCCCCAACTCTAGAGTGAAGCTGATTTTGTTTTTGTGGTGGATGATTCTGAGAAAGGACTGGATACTTGTAAAGGCTAATCTTTAATAAGAACTAGGAAGATTTGCAGCCACAGAGTGGTGTAAGTTTTTGAGTCCTCCACAAAGCATCCCACTCTGCTATACATCCTGAGTCTTGGTCAGGCCATCCTAAGGCAGGACACTTCATAAGTCTGTCCGTGCTCCAAAGCTCCAGAGAAGTGCTAAGAGCTGCAGAGTAGGGGTGATGCAGGTAGTGTATAGGCAATAGATGAAGCTGAGATGTCTGAACTGATTAGGATCCTCAGCTGTTCTGTCACTTCCCAAAATGGTTGATTTGCAGTGGTGTTACCTGGGGAACATCTGAGTAGAAGAGAAAAAATCATTGCTCACACTCTTAGAGAGCAACTTCTGTTCTTGAACCAGCCCAAACAGCTCTGCTGAGTAGGCAAGAGGATCTAGTGGCCAGGAGTATCTTACCTCTTGATAATTAGCAGCAGATAGCAAAAGAAAAATGACATTGTGAACTTGACTTTGATACATGATGGTGGTACAGGAGCTGCTATGGCACTTCACCTGATTGCAGCTGATCCTACAGTGAGGGTCCAGCTCCCTGCTTGAGGGAGATGTTGTGGATGGCTGCAGGAAGAGATGGGATTGTTTCATAACTATCATGGTTTAATCTGCCACCACACATGAGAAGTGCCACAATTCTAGGTTTTGTTCATCAGGGCTCCATTTTCTGCTCTCACTTTTGTGGGTTGACCAAAAGAAAGACTATTTTTCTTGGGAGGCTATTTTTAACTGAGTATTGATTTTTTTTTCTCTTCCCCTCTTATAGTATATATATAATGATGGGCTCTTCATGAAGTTAACACCTTTTTCTTAAAACTGATGCAAACCAGAACCAAATAAAATAGTTCATTAAAGGTTACCATCTGCTTAATGCTGTTGTTTTTTGAAGGTGTAAAAAACTTAGTAGATCCTCCTGGTTCTGCTACTTGCCTAATCTGTGGTTTTTTGAGTCACATAGTGGTACGAAAAAGTGAGAAGAATGATACCTGTGGCAGATGGCTGTGTGGCTATCTCAGGCTCTCAAAGCCAACAGGAGTAAAAGACAGGCTTATTTCTGAGTCAGAAAAACCTCTGTCACTGTGTCTGTAAAGTGGATAGGGAAAAGAAGGCTCCAAAAGAAAGTCTGTTGGAGGTTTTCTGTCCTCTGCCTGGATTGCTGCCAGAGCTGGTGATGGAATGAATCCTGCAACAGATTAAAGTTACACTAATCCAGATCATCCAGAAATGCGAGACCTCCAATCATGCATGGGGAGGTCAGAAAATTACACTGTTGTCATTCTAAAAAAAAAAATACTCTTTCCTAATGTTCCACTGGGACTATCATATTGCAATCCAGTGACCTTACAGTGAGCACCTAGGAAGTCCTTGGTGATTTCTTGCTGCTCTTGATTCATGTCTTTGTTCCTCAGGAACTGAGGAATACTTTGAAGGCTGCCCTATTCAGTATTGCACCTTGATACATAAGTCTTTGAAAATTGTTATTTATAAAAGCAGTACCTGCAGTGGTTCAGAGTGCAGATACATTGCTTGAGGATTATCAAACAATTATGAGCACAAAATCTCAGTAGGGCTTAGAATTACAGAGTATCTCTGAGGCAGGCAGTGCTTGTATGGACAGCTTTATTTCAATCACAACACATTTTAAATTGTGAAACAAAGTTAGTCTGTACTGGAATGACACCAGCTGAGCTCCCTTCCCCTGCCTAAAATACAAGCTTGTGGTCAGTTTTTCCAGCTTTTTTTTTCCTCTTCTTTTTTTTTTTTTTTTTTTTTCTTTTCATTAAGCCTCTTCTTGGGGTGTTTTCTGTATTACATCAGGGCATCACCTTGCATAATCTAAGACATCTCATGACTTCCTTTTTTAATCTGTCCAGTAGAACTATTGTCTCTGGCATGAAGAACAGTTTGGGCTTCAATTTGGGCTGATGCTACAGAAGAAATACAATCGTAGTGAGTCAAAATAGAGTAAGGGGGAGATCCTTCTCTGAGGACTGGGCATGCTGGAACTGAAAAACATTATGCATACACAAGAAATAGCACTGAGTGATTCACTTGGAGTCAGTCATGTGAGTTTCTTTGGCAGTCTGCTTCTGTTTTTCCTTGTTATAAAAAGTAGCAAATGCACTTCCACCAAAAATCTGTGCAGGAGTGGTTAACTTTTATTAGACCCTTAGGTACAAACAAGAGCAACAATACTGTGGAAACTTACAGATTTTTCCCCTGGGAAAAAGACAGCCCTCATGGAGAGTTAGACTATTCACCTTTCTTGTAAGCCTTCATAAAATAGGCACAATTAAAGGAGCAAAAATTGTAGGAAAGCAATAAAAGGATGTGTTCCTCTGTGTTTGTTGATATGTTGCAGGTCAGGCAAGCTCCTGAGGAAGAAGCCCCCAGGGCTTTCAAACAATCTCGCCAGCTAGAGAGCATGAGACCAAGAAATTTTGACACTCACAAAATGAAGTTCTGCTGCTTCTGTTTTGGGCCTCCAGCATTTTTCGGTAATTCTTCTATAGCAGAGAAGGACAGAAGCTAACTTTGACAATACAAGTATTTCATCACTGTCTTCTTTCAGAGCCTGGGCTTTAAAACAACATCTGAAAAGAAAGATGTGAGAGTTGTCACAGTGACTATTCCATCTTGCTTTTTCAAGCTCTTCTGTACAACTGTCACATAAAGAGACACAGCTCTGACCTAAAAGTGAAATCACAGTGCATAGCCACAACTTTGTCACGTGGCACGGCCGCACATGCAGTGTGTGGCAATGCCATAGGGCTCTCGAAGTCACTCAGACTTTTCTATTGGGCCCCCAGTCTCAGAACTTCACGGCTGTTTTCTCTGTGACTGATATCCTTTGCCTTTTGCAAGGAGAAAAGTTAATGCCTCTCCTTGTATAAATCAGTGCCATTTTGTCCTCTAATGAGCCCCTGCCAAATACTGTATCTGAAAAGAATCTTTATTGTGTGCAAATATTCGTCTGTAGCTCACAAGCTGATTGATCCCCTGTGGGTCAAGGGGAGAGTGCCAGGAAAGGGAAGAATTCAATTCTGCCTTTTCAAGACTAATCCTGAAGCACAAGTGTTTGCATGCTGGAAAGTGTTTTGGTACATTTCTGAGAATTATGAATATAATCCAATACAGCTGTTGTGCTAGCATGTCACTTCCTCTCCTCTGGCACCAGATGTGGGCCCCTG